CGGGCGCCCTCGATGCCGGCAGCCGCGGGGGTGCGGGGGGTCGCGGTGTCCCCGCTGCCGGGGATGCCCCTCGCGAGCAGCCGAGGCTGCGGTGCCCCGGGTGCTCCCCGGAGCAAGGACCCCCTCCCCGGCACGGGCGGCATCGCAGGGGGCTCTCGGGCAGCGACCCCGCGGACCCCGCGCCGACCTTCCCCGCGACCTTGGGCCCCTGGGGGGGGTCGGATCGGTGCTGGGGGTGCTGCGGGGCACCGCGGGGTGTCCGCGGTTGCGGCTCCGCGGCGGCGGCGCCGGGCGGCCGGTGCAGCCGCTTTGTCCTTCGGCGGGAGCCGCCGCTTTGTCTGGGGACGGAGGCGGCGGCAGTGGCGGCCGCGGGGACCCCCCTCCCTGGCGCCGGGATGCGGAGGATGGTCCCCCCGCGGCGGGGAGGCCCGGGCTGCCTCTGGGCTCCGGGAGACCCGGGGATTCCCTCGCGCGGTGGCTCCATCCGGGGAGGCTCCGGTGCCCGCTCTGCACCCCGGGGCTCGCAGGCGCCTGGATGCGGCCGCGGGGAGGATGGGCCGGGGCAGGAGGGCTCTGCCCACTGGCAGTGGCGCCTGGAGAGCCATGGGGTGAACACGGTGTTCCCTGAGATGCGGGATTCCCACAGGATGCAGGGTTCCTGATGGATGCAGGTTCCCGTGGGATGTGGCATTCCCATGGGAAGCGGGATTCCCACAGGATGCAGGTTCAAGCAGGTTGTGGGGTTCCCCTGGGATGCAGGGTTCCTGCAGCATGCAGGTTCCCCTGGGATGTGGGATTCCTGCAGGATGCAGGGTTCCTGCGAGGTGTGTTTCTCGTGGGATGGGGTTCCAGTTACATGGAGCAGCTGGAGCCATCCTATTGTGGTAGGGCTCAGAGGAGGTCTCCGGGGCGATGCTGAAGCTCCAGGCAATTCCTTGTGCTGGCAGCACCGCAGCTGAAGGGACCCTGGCTGGGGCCGCGGGGCAGAGGATGCCACCATGAGCAGCAAGGCTGGAGGGTCCCAAGGCCGCTGGTAGTGTCCCGTGTTCCCAGGCTCAGCCCGTGACAGTGGCACCCGGCCCAGATGGCGTTGGCATTTGTGGGAGCGGGGGATCCCGCCGGCACGGGCAGCTGCCGTCCAGCCTCTGCCATATGGCCGGGGCTGGCAGTGGGGAGCTCGGCGGGGCCCTGCGGGGACCAGGTCGGGATGTGACGCACTTCTTGTGCACAGGCGGCCCCGACGGCTGGGCCCTCTGCAGCGCAAACGCGCGAGGGCTGGACCCGTGGGCCAGGGGTGCTTGTGCCCAAGCCCCTGGCACCCCAGCTTGGATCCCGGCTGCCCCCCATTCCCACCCTGTGGATCCCAGGCAGGAATTAGCGCGCGGGTGATAAATAAATCACCAGCCGGGAGCTTTTTGGCCGCCCGCCTCTATTTTTAGCTGCACCCTCCTCCTCTGCAGTTGCTCCCAGGCAGCGGCGCTGATCGGGGCAGGGGGGTCCGCAGCCCCCAGCACCCGCTGGCCGCCGTGGGGACGGTGCAGGGTGGCAGTGCACGGACCCCTGTGCCCGTCCTGGCCACGCCGGGGCCCTCGGCCGTGCTGCTCGGCGCAGGGGAGGATACGATGCAGCCCCAGCGTGTCCCTTCCATCGTCCTGCAGTTGCTCCCTGTCCCCCCAGCTGCATCCCTGGACCTGCTGCACAGCCACCACGTGCAGACCTGTGTCCCCTGCCCGCAAGGCCCCTGGGTGCAGGAGCCCATTGTCACGGCCCCCACGGCACAGGCTCTGTTACATGGTCAGGGTGCTGGGTCCCCAGGGTCCTGGGGGCTTGTGGCCCTACTCGGGGAGCTGAGACATTTGCTGACCTGCTGGAAGTGCCATCCTGACAGGCCAGCCCTGCCTGCTCCATCCCACCGCAGCCGGGCATTAAAAGGCAATCGGGGCCCATTTCCCTGCAATCAATTTGGCAGAATAGAGAGGGAACGAGCAACCCTGGAGAGGCTCCAGAGGCCCCGCGTGCACCCGAGCGCAGGGATGTGCCTTGGGGGCGGCCACCGCGGCCCCAGGTCCTGCCGGCTCCGTGTGCGCCCGGCCGGGGCGGGAGGTGTTTGCGGTGCCCGGGTGCCCAGGTCGGCTGGTGCAGCCGAGCTTGGGAGCCCCAGCGCGGTGGGGAAGCACCCGGGGTTGCGGTGCCCTCGCTGGGGCCGCCTGTGCCATGGGGCTGGTGCAAGCTCTGTGAGGATGTGCGTGTGGTGGGTCTGCGGTGGCTCCATAGGGACGCCCATGTGGCAGGGCGACAGCAGGGCTCTCTGTGCCACCAGGCCCACGCTGCTCGGCTTGTGCAACGCGGCTCCTCATGCCAGGGCACTGCGCTGGCTGCGGCGGGGGCTGCACGGGCAGCTGCGGGGGGTTCTATCCAAGATGCCCGTTGGGCTGGGAGGTGGGTTCGGCGCTGGCCCCCAGCCCCAGGGCTCAGCTGCCCGCCCGGGCATGGTGCAGCCGGGGTGCCCGCAGCGCCAGTGCTGCCTGTGCCGACGTCCCTGCTCCTCTCGGCCCAGGCGCGGAGGGAAGCCCATGGCCCCCGGCCCTCCGGCCACCGGCAGAGCCCCCGCCGAGCCCCGGCGCCCCTGAGGACCCTGGTCGCCAGCAGCAGCAGCAGGTACCGGGCACAGGGCATGCATGCCGGGGGGTGCATGGGGGTGTGACGGAGCGCTGGTGCATGGGGACGCCGTGGGGGCGTGTGTGCACGTTTGCAGTGCGGGAGGATGAGAGGGGTGCCCGGCGGGGCATGGAGGGAGTGAGGGGGGTGCGCAGGGCTCAGATGGAGCCATGGGGGGGCTCCGGTGTTGGGGGG